ACAAAAATCTGGAGTTTTAGGTAATATTTCTTGAATTTTAAATGCTGGCATCTGACTTAAAAACACTCAGCAACTATAATCCTAGCACTCTGGGAGGCCGAGGTGGGTGGATCGCTCAAGGTCAGGAGTTCGAAACCAGCCTGAGCAAGAGTGAGACCCCATCTCTACTAAAAATAGAAAGAAATTAATTGGCCAACTAAAAAAATATGTAGAAAAAATTAGCTGGGCATGGTAGCTCATGCCTGTAGTCCCAGCCACTTGGGGGGCTGAGGCAGAAGGATTGCCTGAGCCCAGTAGTTTGAGGTTGCTGTGAGCTAGGCTAACGCCATGGCACTCACTCTAGCCTGGGCAACAAAGTGAGACTCTGTCTCAAAAAGAAAAGAAAAGAAAAGAAACCACTCAGCAAGTGGGCATTGTGCAAGCTCCCAGAACAGGTCTGAAGGCCGGATGTGCCCTCCATCAGGACAAGGCCAGAAGGCACCACCCACCTCGCGGCGCACAAGGGGCCTGGGCAGGTCCACCCATTGTAACCTCTGCCTTGTATTCCGTCCCCACTGGGCCCTTTGATGGCCTTGGTGACGTGTGGGGGAGGGTGGGGAGGAGAGTCTCTGTTTCTTTAGCACAGGAAAATTATTCGGAAAAAACAAAGAAGTCTTGGAATGCAGCTGGTGAGGATGGGGCAGGGACCGGGTGGAGACAGGGCCAGGGCAGGACAAGGGAGGGACACCACAGGGGTCTGTGCTGCTTCCGGGACCGGGAGTTGGTCAGAGAGCACTGCTGCGGCTGAGTGTCCCACAGGAAAGAGAATACTTATTTTGAGGCTGGTGGCCAGAGGTAGAAATAGATGCCCTAGTGAGTTTGGGGCAAAGGCTGGCAAGGCTGGCACTTGTAAAGCACCTTGGAGTTGACAAAGGGCACTCATTATCCCGTCTGACCCTCCCTCGCCCAGGCTGGAGAGGTAAGGCTCAATACCCCTGTTTTACAGAGGCTTATCGAGGTCTCACTGCTGGCGCTAGGGCACACTGGGACTGGTGGTCCCAGGTCTCACACCCTGTGAGGGACAGGCCGGCACACTCTGGAGAGAAAGTGCCAAGCTTTCCCTTCCTTGGTCCTAGCCGCCCTCCTCCAGCTGGCCGGCCTGGAGTCACCCTCAGGGTGTGAGCGCTGTCCCAGCTGTCTGCATGTCTCAGCACCTGCCGCCCTGGCTCTCCTGAAGGTCCAGATCCGGCCTCGGTTGTGAGTCCTGGACCCTCGTCACACTCAGGTCCCCTGGATAGGGGGCTGCACATCTTTCCCTCCACTTTCTCTCGCCAAGCCCTTGCCCGCAGTGCTCTCTCAGCCCACTCATAGAGGATGTTGACCAACCAGGGAACTGACCGACTAGGGTAGGGCCAAGGGAAACTTCACCTTCGCCTTTGGAAGGTTTGTTGAAAAAGCACCTCACAAAAGGCAGATTAATGGGAGAGAAGGTGTACAAATTATATTAACATGTACACAGGGAAAGTCACAGAGCGATTGCCCACCCCTAAGGGGGTTCAGAAGCTTATTGCCATCCCCACAAAGTAGGTTGTGGGAATGAATGGATTGTGGAACTGAGATCGACTTGTACATTATCTTGTGCAAGGCGCTATTCAGGTGTAGTTACATCCTTGGTCTTACCGGGAGGAGAAGAAAGCACACTTGTTCTCCTTGATGGGTCTGGATCTTAGGCAGGTAAAGGAACTTCAACTTCGTCCTGTGCTTAGGGAGAGACAGTGTTGGGGAAGGCAGAGGGACCTTGAGACTTCAGGGAATCAGCTTCTGAGCCCCAACACTAGCCAAAGGATGGACTGGTACAATGACAGACTGTCCCCAAATGGCCACTTTTGCCAATTCCCAGGAGGGAAGCCAGGCCCGAATAAGACGTGCCTACACAGGGACTGTCTCTGCCATCCTTGCAGCCACCATCTCGTGGTTGCTGTTGGGGGAGCTGGAGTCAGACAGATCTGGCTCTCAGCCTTGGCTTTGCCACTCACCAGCCCAGAGACCCTAGAAAAGTTGCTTCTCTAGGAGCCTCTGTTTGTTTCTGCATCAGGGAGTCAGCGGTGCCCCAGAGTGTTGCTGGGGGGAACGGTGCTGAGCCTAGCCCTGCACAGGGTGGTGTCTGGTCTAGATCAAGCACCTGCTTCCCCCGAGAAGAAGACGCCCAGGACAAACTCCTCCATCCTGCCTGCTGTTCAGGGCGGGCCACTTCTGTGGGGGATGAAAGTGGGTCTGAGAGCTGCTTCCAGCCAGGGCCTCAGTTGACTTCCCTCCCTCACCCCCTTCTCCAGCCCTTTGCTGTTGAACTTCAGCCCCATCCTCTGTTCTAGATGTGGCAACGTTTGCTGCTGGCACAAAGCAAGTCTGGAAGCAGGCAGGTGTTTGTGGCAGGAGGGCAGGCAGCTGACAGAGGTTGGCCGCCTGGCAGGGGAACATGCAGTAGTCACTGAACACCTGCTGTGTGCTGTGGCAATGCCAGCTTCCCAAAGGTCATTACTCTCCAGGAAAAGGGACACCACTGCTGCTCAGTGTTTTGGCAGTGTCTCAGAAGGGGAGGTAAAGTCAGAGTTTATGAAGAATTAAGTTTGTTTTAGAGCCCTTCAGCGCAGAGTAGGAGGTGGTGGGTAGGGGGAGACTAGATTAGGATTGGGTAAAAATTTCAATTCGACATTTCCGGATTGGTAGAAGCAGCAAGGTGAAGAAGTTGCCAGGAGGGAGTCAAAGAACCTGAGGGCCAACACTTTATTTCCCTTGAAGAGTTGATTGGTCTTTCAGAAGTTCCTGTAGTGAACATTCAAATAAACCATTTATCTGGGGGTGACAGCCTGGGAAGAGGAAAAAACGCTACTGAAGACAGTGAAATAGCAAAGTCACGTGAATGTGGACCATAAGGTATGGTCGTGGTTTTGGGTTTTTAGCCCAGGCTGAATGTGGGCGTAGGTGGTTTTGGTTCTTGGTAGATGCTTCCTGCACTGGGAAGGAGGGATTACTGTCCCTGCCTTGCAGCGGGGGCTTCAAACCTGGGCCACTGAGTGTGCCTGAAGAGAAGGGGTCTAGTTCCTCAGGTGTTGTGGTTGGTGGGGGCTTGGATGAGAGAGATATGACCCAGATAGATGGCCAGTGACGTAAGAATGGAGGGGTTACTTGGAGGAGGACCAGGTGTGCGTGGAAGGGGAGGGGTCCAGTTGGCTATGTTGCCTGGGAGGTACTTGAAGATTTATCAGGAAAGGGGACAGTGATGGACCTTGGTGGGGGCCTACTGTGTGCTAAGCCGTGGGCCTGGTGCCCTAGAGACCTCACATCCTTGGGATAGTGTAGGGGAGAAGAGATTTCTTTCCTTACCCATTGCTAGGCTCATGGCTAAGGCCCCTATAACAAGAGACAGATTAACAGGAGAAAAGCATGCAAATTTATTTAATACAAGTTTTCCATGCCATAGCAGCCTTCAGAAATGAAGCCCCCCCTCAAGTCAGAAAAACCTGTGTACTTTTCTGCTAAGTTTGATGAGAAGTATCGTGTTTCCCTGAAAATAAGATCTACCCATAAAATAAGCCCTAGCAGGATTTCTAAGCATTTGCGCAATAGAAGCCCTACCCAGAAAATAAGACCTAGCAATGGGCGTGGCTACGCAGGGTATCTGCACAACCCACGCATTTTGTCACGGAGCGGTAAAGAAGACGAGCAGCCCTTCTCATCTGCCCCATGAGAGCTCTATTGCTCGACATGAGAGATTGGGGCCAATGGTTCTAAAGGAAATAGAGTTGCAAGAAATTCAGGATGGAATTTGGGGTTTGGAGAGTTATGATGATGTTTCAGAAGAAAACAACTTAACTACATTTGAATAAATGTAGATTATTGTACTGTACTTAAAAAAAAATAACACATCCCCTGAAGATAAGCCCTAGGATGTCTTCTTGAGGAAAAATAAATATAAAGCCCTGTCTTATTTTCGGGGAAACATGGTATATAGTTGTGGAGAAGTATGATCGGATAAAGGGGGTATGATCTAGTAGGCCCGTTTGTCCAGATTCTTCTCCATGTCCTTGTGTCTCCATAGCCAAGGATGTTTCTTTTCTCCACTATAGGGAGAATAACTGTAAAATGAGTATCTTATGACTTGCTTCAGGAGAGAAGGATGGGAGAGGGTTGAAGAGTGGCCTTCCTAGGTTTTATGACCTGCTTCTACTGCTTTCTTGAATGCCAATGTGCCATATCTTGGGGTAGCATGTCCTGAACCTCATCAGTAGATACTGTTATTTTCACCTTAGAAGTGGGGAAACTGAGGCTCAGAAAGATCTAGGGATGTGTCCAGGCCCACACAGTGGGCTTGTGGCAGAGCTAGGATCCCAACCCTGGTCTGAGGACTTAAAGTCTAGACTCAGCCCCACATTTCCCTGAGACTTGCTCCCTGCAGCTAGGAGGTGGCTCAAGGAGGCCTGAGCCCTCCCAGTAAAGAACAAGCAGAGAAAGGTGCTCCCCACTGTCAGGCTGGTCTCTGAAACGCTGCCCCTCATCACCCACATGCAGTTGGCATGAAGAATGCTGATTGCTGCCCAAGGGCAGCCAGCAGAAGGCCTTTCTCACTGACCAGATACCTGGGTAAACAAGGTTTCTGGCAGATGGACTTTGGGGGCAATTGCATGACCCCAAAGAGCCATGGGGCAGGTGGCAGACTGACAGCCTGAACAGACAGGTCTCCTGGAAGACAGCAGACCACTGACTGGCTGGCTTTCGAGCAGATGGACATGTGTGCCTGTATGAATGACCAGGTAACCGACCGACAGGCACACAGACCCCTTGCCTGCCAGCTCGGGGGCTGTGGGCTCCCAGCCCTTGAAACCACCGACTTATCTGGGCCCTAAAACCTGGCTGCCCACCTAGGAGAGAAGAGGACTGGGTTTTTTTCTTTCATTTTTTTTTTCAGACTAGGTTTTTTTTAACTGGGGCCTGGCTCTCTGCCCCTCCTCTCATTCCCACAGGCCACAGCCAGCCCAGCCCAGGTTCACTCCCACAGCTGTCCCCTCCTCCGGGATAAAGGCTTCACAGAACAGGAAAGGGCCTCAGTGCCCTTCCACGTGAGGAGGACACACAGCCCTGGACTCAGGACCCTCCTTCCAAGGTGAGTTCTGTCCTCAGGGAGTCGATGGTTTCCTGCCAGCCCCTGGGCCCCAGCCCACAGGAAGGGCTCAGAGGGGACAGACAGCCTGCCTGACTGGCTCCATTCAGTGGCCGACTGAGTGCCAGCACGGCTGGGGCTGTCAGTGCAGAGAGCCACAGCCAGTGCGTCCCTCCACCAGCGAGAGGTGCAGGCTGTGGACTCTGCCCTCCAGAATTTGCCATATCTCTAAAGGATAAATTATCCCAGGAAGACTTTGGCCTTAGCAGAAGAGGCTGAGACTGAAGATTCAGGGAGAGCCAGAGGTGAGGCTGGAGTAGGAGCTCACCTGAGGCAGGTGAGCAGGCTCTGGAAGTGGGCAGGTGAGAGGGTATGGGGCTGGATCTTTGGGATAGACAGTTTGGGGCACAGGGAAGATGCCACTGTTGTGCCCAGGAAGCCAAGCCGAGGGTCCAGGATCTGGCATATAGTTGGGGGCCCCGTGTTCTGAACAGGCCCACTGACCTTCTGACCCTCTTCCCATCCATTCCCTGGGTTTCCTTCAGGGCTGGGGCTCCAAGTCAGTGACTTCTGTCCTCCCACACTCAGCTCCAACCCTGGTTGGGCTGGCCCCTTGGGTGGGCCAGCTCTGTTGCCTGTGAGGTGGCCTGGTTAGGTTTGGGTGGGCCAAGATAGAGAAGAGCATTGCACTTCTTCCCCTGTGAACGGAAAATAAGCCAAACTCTGTAAAATAATTTAAAGAGGTTTATTCTGAGCCAAATTTGAGCAGCATGCCCAAGTAGCCTTGAGCAAGTTGACTTGCTAAGGTTGGGTTACAGTTTGGTTTTATACATTTCAGGGAGACAAGAATTAGAGGTAGAGTCATAAATCAATACATAGAATGCACATATTGGTTTGGCCCCCAAACCAGGAGCTTACAAGTCATAGGTGGGTTTAAAGATTCTTTATTTGACAATTGGATGTAAGAGTTAGGCTTTGTCTAAAAGACCAGGAGTCTGCAGAAAGGAGTTAGGACAAGGGTCATCTATCTTTCATATGATGCTAAGCTGGAACCAGGTTGGGAAGTAAACCACATTATATTAGGGTAATAAAACCTGTTTGGTGAGATTTTATCATTTGGAGGCATGACTCACCAGGCCCTGTTAGAAATGAATTTGGGGGACAAAAGAAAAGATCAGGGTTCAGTCCTCAAACCTGTACAAGCAGCATGGAGTGATGTTGAGTTTAACACCTGGGCTTGAATTTAATACCTGGGCTGGCCCAATGTTAGCCAGCAGAGCTAGCTGCTCTGAGCCCGGTGCCCTTATCAGAAGCGGGAGACAATGAGGCACGGAGACGATGAGGCACCTTCGGTACAGAGCTGTGCGGAGGGTTCATGAGTTGATGTGTGGAAAGGATGTAGCCCAGAGCCTAGACCACAGCAGGTGACCAGCCTCTGCCGCTGAGAGGACTGCAGCTCAGAAGTGGTCCCCTGCATCTCCGCTGGGGGCCTGTGCTTTGAACTGCCTTACTTGCTCTTTGCCTTCAAAGCGACCCCCCCAGAGTGTCCCCTCCAGTCCCCTTCCCCAGGCCAACCCCTCCTCTCCTCCTTCTCAGGAGGCAGCTTTATTTCAATATTTCCTTGTTTCCTCTGAGTCCCCCCAAAGGGACTCCTCCCCAGCTAGCCGCGTCCATTTCCTCAGTCAAATTCCTCAAGCTATTTGGATAAACATTTCTCCAAAGAAAGATACACAAATGGCCAATAAGCACATGAAAAGATGCTCGACATCATTAGTCATTAGGGAAATGCAAATCAAAACCGCACTGAGATACCACTTCACACTGCTAGGATGGCTGTAAATGACAAGACAGACAGTAACAAGTATTAGCAAAGATCTGGAGAATTGGGATGATCACGCACTGCTGGTGAAACTGTAAAATGGTGCAGCCACTGTGGAAAACAGCTTGGCAGTTCCTCGAAGATTTAAAGGTACAATTACCATGTGATCCAGCAACTCCGTTCTTAAGTATACACTCAAGAGAATTGAAAACATGTCTACCTAAAAATCTGCACATGAATGTTCATGATACCTGAAAGAACCCCAATGTCCACCAACTGATGAGTAGATGAACTAAATATGATGTATTCGTGCAATGGAATATTATCCATTCATAAAAAATAACGAAGTACTAATACATGCCATAACATGGATGGACCTTGAAAACATTATGCTAATTGAAAGAAGCCAGTCACAAAAGAACACATACTATATAATTGCATGTATACGAAATGTGCAGACCAGGCAAGTCTACAGAGACAGAAAGTAGATTAGTGGTTCCCAGGGGCTGGGGGGAGGAGGAAACTGTGCCGGCTGTTGGACAGTGTGATGGTCGTACAGCTGTGAATACACTAAAAACCTTCGATGGTGCACTTTACAATGGCAGATTTTATGGCATGTGGATTATTATATCTATTTTTAAAAATCCTCAGGTTCCCAGGTGCCTTGTGTGAGGACCACAAAACCTTCACTCGGGGCAGTTCAGGCCTCCGTGGCCCCCTCCCCAAGTTTGCCTTCCTGGCCTAGAGACAGAGTAGGAGAGTCCCCTGAGTCACAGGTGTTTGTAGATCAGTTTTCAGGCTCCAGCAGGAGCATGCTGAGTGAGGGGAAACTCCTACGGGTGGCGAGGGGGACGTGAGACAATGCAGAAGGCTTCCAGCAGGAAGTGGGGCCGCAGCGGGGAGGAAGGCCGAGGAGGCCAGGGCTGCCAGGAGGGCAGGTGGTTCCTATCCAAGCGGAGGGGTGGAGTCCCCCAGGGTTGGACTTCCAGGCTCCCCACTGAGGGTGAGCTCAGGAGACCCTGGGAGCTGCCTCTGAAGGCGCTCAGCTTCCTCTCACCGCAGGGAGTGGGATGCTGGCACGATCACCACTGTTACTGGGCGTGAGAGGAGAGCATGCATAATGCATGCACATGCATAATGGGGCCAGGGGTCCAAGACAGCTCTGGCTCCTGAGTCATTGCCCTGCCACCCCTCCCCGTGCCTCTGTTTGTCCAGGAGGGCATGACCTGGGATGAGCTCTGAGGGCCCTTTCTGCCCAACCAGCAACATGGTTTGATGGTGTGATTTGGTGGTTGGTTAGCTCTGTGATGACATACGGGTGGCACCCTGTGTGGCGTTGGTGCCTATTCCAAAATACACCGAGGAAAAGCCTCTACTCCCTGGCTATGGACTGAGCCTTGCCCTTGCACCTGGTGCCAGACCTCTGACCCTACCTGAGCCAGGCACACCCAGGCCCAGGCTCGGGCCCAAGCCCACAGGCCCAGGGCGGGCTGAGAGACTCATGGCTCGTCCCCGCTGCTGGGGCCGCTGCGCGAGGGTTTGTTGTCTGGCGAGGTCGGCAGCTTCTCCCTGGGGAGGGAGGGTCATGCTGGAGCAGAGTGACGGTGTGAAGCAGGTGGTCCCCAGTAGCGACCTGGTCAGCATGGGTACACAGAACACACCCCCCCTTAGGACGGTCTCTTCCACCACTGCGACCTAGGGATCAGCACGGCTGAAGGTGTTTTGATTCTCAGATTCCGCTCAGCCACGAAGGTCCCTTCTCCGGAAACACCTTGGCTCTGAGGTCTAGGCTACCTGGGTCAGGGCCATCCTCGGGATTCCGCCTCCACTCTTATCACCTGGCTGTCTGTCCCTCAGGGCCAGCACAGATGCCAGACAAGGAAACCAAGGCCATGATGGGCACAGAAGTCACGCCTCGAGGCAAAGCCAGCCCAGACTCTAAGGACTCTCGCCCAAGTGTGTTCCACAACATCAAGGTACCTCCTGGGGCCTGGCAGGGGCAGGGGCCTCTGAGCCTAGCAGAGCAGGCTCTGCCACATACTGGCTGTGTAACGACAACCAAGCCCCTCTCTGAGCCTCAGTTTCCTCATCTGTAGAATGGGTGGCGGTGAGGATCAAAAGGGTGATCTGTGAAAGTACCCGGCTGGGTTTCAGGCACATGGAAGGTGCCCAGTACATGTTCCCTCCTTCCAGAGAGGAGAGGGCTGCTCTGGGAGCACTTCCCTAGAGAAATAAAGTGCCTCGGGCGTCCTGAACCCGTATGGATAGTGGGGGTCCTGGCTCTACCACGGGCAGCCCTAAACATCCAACACCCACTGGCACCTACTGGGTGCCGGGCCCTGTGCCACGTGCCATTCACACGTGATCTTACTTAGTTCTTGGAATAAACCTGGTAGGGCCACTGTCCTCATTGTACCCACGAGGAACAGAGTGCACGTATTAAGCTCTGCCGTAAATACTCTATTTTTAATTCTTTGGAGCAAGTTTTTCTTCTCTTGGGCATTCTGCCAGTCTTTCAGGAGGAAGACTACAGGCGGGCTGGGATGTTTGGGGCGGGCGGGCTGGGCAGCCTGGGGGGCTGGTGTGTGCAGTGGTCCCACAGGGCAGCCCGAGGGGACGACTGGGTGGGGGTGGGATGGAGAAGGACCTGGGTGGACCTGGGATTGCTTCCTGGAGAAAGGGGCAGTGTGGTGGAACAGGGAGGAAGGGCCAGGCCAGGGGGGGGGGCGGGTCTCTGAGGGCCTAAGGGGGCTCCCACCACTCCCGGCCCCATGAAGACCCACGTGTCATGTGGCTCTCTGGTAGCCCCAGGCCCCTGCGGTGTAGCCGGGACAGCTTTTCTAGTTTTTAGGCCTGTGTGAGAAGCCATGGGCTACTGCAATAACACTCTCTCTTTCTCTCTTTGTCTCTGTGTCTCTCTCTGTCTCTCTTCTCTTATCTGTCACTGCCCCTCCGCCCCATGTGGGTCTCCTCTGGCTCCGCGTCCCCATCTCTATTCCTTGCTCCGCTTATGACCTCACCTCCCTCTGTGTCTCCCCACGGTCTCCCGCGGCTCCCCGCAGCTCTTCCTCCTGTGCCACAGCCTGCTGCAGCTGTCACAGCTCATGATCTCCGGCTACCTCAAGAGCTCCATCTCCACGGTGGAGAAGCGCTTTGGCCTCTCCAGCCAGACCTCGGGGCTGCTGGCCGCCTTCAACGAGGTACCAGAGCCCCAGCCCAGCCATGGGGGTGGACGCTGAGGAAGACTCCCACCGTCACCTCCTGCCGACCTCCCCCTCAGTACCCCGCCGTAAACCCCTCCCCTCCTGGGGCCCTTGGGCAACCCCCGTCACAGCCCCTGGCCTGAAAGCTCAGAACATTTGCAGCTGTCGTGTAAGACCCGGCGGTCCTCCCGTGGGAGCACTCTACTTGGGTTGTGGGATATGTCAGAGCTAGCCAGGGTCCCCATATCCACCCACTCTCCTTTTGGTTCCTTTGCCTTTTTGGGCACCTAGCTATTGCCTGTCCCAGGAGGGAATCAGAGAAAGTCACTTCTACAGTAGTCAGCTGGGTACGGTGGCTCATGCCTGTAATCCTAGCACTCTGGGAGGCTGAGGCAGGAGGATCGCTTGAGGCCAGTTCGAGACCAGCCTGAGCAAGAGCAAGACCCCGTCGCTACAAAAAGTAGAAAAATTAGCTGAGTGTCGTGGCACGTGCCTGTAGTCCCAGCTACTCAGGAGCTGAGACAGGAGGATCACTTGAACCCAGGAGTTGGAGCTTGCAGTGAGCTATGATGACACCACGGCACTCTAGCCAGGGCAACAGAGCGAGACTCTGTCTCAAATCAGACAAAGAGTAGCGAGAGAGGCTTTAATGACATCAGGGACAGAACCTTCAGAGCTCGGGGATGGGGGAGGGAGGGACACCACGAAGTGTCTGTCCTCAGAACTGCCCAGGGATTCACAGGCCTCTGGGGCCCACAGCCAAGCAGAGGAGCAGATGAGCTGCTTTGGGTGGATTTGGAGATCAGAGTCCAGCTGTGCCTAGCTCCTCCCTTGCCAGATGTTTTCACCTAGGGAGCAGGAAGCTGTCTCTTTCTCCCCTGCCCCTGGCAGATCCTTGTGAAATTCTCTCCCCTTGGGTAATGTGTCATACTCCTCCCAGCCCAAGGCCTGCCAGCTGCATAGCCTCCCCAGATGTCCCTCGGCACCCCACCTCAGGTCTCAGACATGGGAAGGGAAAGTCCTTGCCTTGCTCTGGGACTTGGGCATGTCACCCGGGTCTCTGGGCCTCTGTGTCTCATCTGTCAAGTGGAGAGTGCCTGTTCTTCCCGGAGTCAGTCTGCCCCCTGCCCCTCGGCTGACACTGCCCCCACCACTAGTGAGGAGGCTGAGGCTCACCCTCATGCTCGGCAGGAAGCCACAGAGCAGATGCACACCCAGCTTGTGACGGCAGAGGCTGCCCCTGCCGGGCAAGCTCTCAAGTCCCCTCTCCACTCTGCCCTCAGTTTTTCTCCCCTAATGAGACAGTGGAGCCCTTCCCAGGAGGACCCAGAATCGGTATTTATAAGAGGGACTCAGGTGATTCTTATTGAGTCCATTATACAGATGGGAACTGTGAGGTTGACAATGGAGACAGGGGTGGTACAGGCCACCAGCCCTGGGCTCTGCTCCATTTTAATGCGCCACCTCGTCCCTTTGCAGGTGGGGAACACAGCTTTTATTGTGTTTGTGAGCTACTTTGGCAGCCGGGTGCACCGGCCCCGAATGATCGGCTATGGGGCTGTCCTTGTGGCCCTGGCGGGCCTGCTCATGACTGTCCCACACTTCATCTCGGAGCCGTACCGCTACGACCACACCAGCCCCGGTAAGAGCAGGAGGACCGGGCAAGAGAGGCTATGAGCAGCTGCGTCGCTGTGCATGGGGCTCGTGCACAGGCCTCCATCGGACAGGGTGGCCCCGGGTCCCAGGTGGCCTTCTAGTCCTCCCTGGTGGCCCTGAGGCATGGGGTAGGATGAGGCCCAGGGCAGGGCCTCACTTGATGAGGACATGCTTGTATGTCACTGGGTTTTTTTATTTTTTGAGGAGGGAGTGAATTTATAACACAGCCTATTTAGGGCCTGGCATGTAGTAGCTCCTCAGGAAATGCAGGTAGAGTGATAATAACAGTGTCACACACTGCTTACCATGCATTGGACACTGCTCTGAGCACTTTATGTGTGATCATGCATTTCATCCTCACAAAAAGCTGAGACATTGATGAAAGAAAGAATGTATGAGTGAATGAACAAATTAAAAAAATGAAAGAATTTTAGACAAGAATAGTGAAGCCCTGTTTAGCCCAGTGGGATTTTGTTGAGGGCCTACCTGACAGATGGATGCCTGTCCCTTAGAGAGGGACCCAAGTAGCCTGAGCATTCACTCTGTTTCTTCCCTCTCCTAACACCCATCCATCCATCCATCCATCCATCCATCCATCCATCCATCCATCCACCCATCCACCCACTGATCTACCCAGCTACCCCTCCAACCACCTATCCATCCATGCATCTATCCATTCACGCCTCCATCCATCCATCCATCCATCCATCCACCCATCCATCCATCCACCCACCTATCCATCCATGTATCTATCCATTCACTCCTCCATCCATCCATCCATCCATCCATCCATCCATCCATCCATCTATCCATCCCATCCATCCATCCACCCACCCATCCATTTATCTATCCATCCAGCCAACGGTCCACCCCACAAACCCTTAATGCTGCTTACTTTGTGCCTGACCCTCTCAGGGGGACTCAGTCCCTGCCTCCAGGGAGCTCCCAGTCTGGGAGAGGAACAGAGACAAACAAACCCCCCAGTGTGTCAATCGTGTGAGGGAAGCACAGGGTTGGGAGGAGCCCACGCCCCAGCCTGGCATCAGGAAAGGCTTCCCAGGGGAAGAGCCTGTCCGAGGGCATCCTTCCTCCCTCCCACCAGCTCATACCCCAGGAGCCCCGCACTGTGCAGGACCAGGGTGTGGAAAGATGAAGCAGACGTGACCCAGTGGAGTGCAGGATTGGCATGAGCGTGTTACGAGGTCCAGAGCCCAGCCCCTAGGAGATGGCAGAGGCAGCCATTAGAGCCCTGAGTGGAGGAGGGACACTGGCAGCTGGAGGGAGCTGGAGGGGTGGCATGTGAGAGGCAGCTCAGAGAGAAGGCGGGCATTGCAGGTGGCAGGCCGGGGCGCAGGTGCAGCGGCGGAGAAGGGGAGCGCAGAACACGCATGAAGAATGCGGGGTGCTCGTCTAGGCCTGAGTGGAGACTTGTCAAGAGGACCGCTTGCAAGGCCAAAAGTAATACTGCCTCCCATTTCTTTCCAGAATTGTCACTTTAACAGAGCTTTTTCTGTGCAGGGTCACACACGTTCTTCCTCCTCACTGTCATACGACACCCTCTGCCATAGGCTCCCTGAGAGCCCAAGCAAAGCCCTTCTCCTGTGTGAGCCTCAGTCCTCACAGTGGCCCAGAGAGTGGGTGAGACTCGAGGGTCTCCAAGCTCCCGTCCCGCTCTGCCACTGCAGGCTGTTTCCTTCATTCATTCTGCATCCGATATTTACAGAGCTCTCTTCTGTGCCAGGCTCCTGCAAGGCCCTGAGGACAGGGGGCTGGAAATGTCAGACATGCTCATACCTAATGTCTAGTAGGCACTGTGCAGGGCGCACTTGCCACTCGCCACTCTCCACGGTCATGGCCCCCGAGGCTCAGAGAGGGCAGGAGCTTCCCCAAGGCCCACCAGCAGTAGAACTATGACACCTATGACAGCAGTAGAACTAGGACACCTGTGACACCTCCATATAGCCCTGCCCTGGGGCCCCTGCTCTTAATTATTGAATTACTCTGCCTCTGAACTCCTTATCTCTGGAGAACTTCTAGGAGATTCACTTTTGAGATGAAGAAGCTGAGGCCCAGAGTGGGACTAAGTCCCTGTTGAAGTCACACCATGAGGCCCAGGCAGCCTCACTGAAGGCTTACGTCCGGGTTCTCGATCTTGGTTCACAGGGCTCTTGGCAGTCGGTGGAGTGGCTCTGGGGGCCGGCTGCCCCGGCTCAGAGTCCCTGCTCTATAAATGGAGGGCCACCAAGAGAAGGCCACCGCTACACACACATTTGGGATAATAATAGTGTAAGGGTCTCCTCAAGTGTGCTCACCACATATTGGTGAGCTGCACGGAACAAATGTCTAGTACTAAATTAAGACATTCTTTTCCGTACTCTGCATCTGTGTCCCAAGCTGGCACTGAACCTCCCCAAGGTGAATGCCAAGGCCCACACAGCCCTCCACAGTCCAGCCCTGGCTTCCCTCCCCTGCCAGACTCTGCCTGCAGCACCGGCCTCGCCCTCGCTCTTTGTGATCTCACCATTCCGAGCTTCTCACTCTACCCACTCCGTGCCTTTCAAGGCCCTGGGTTTTGCCTATAGCGTGACCTTTCCTTGGAACACCACTCCCTCCCTCTCTGGGAAATCTTGTTTGTTCTGCTGGCCCCAGTTCAAACTCTACCTCCATTGACTGCCCCACCCCAACCCAGAGCCACCGTTGCCTTGGTGCTGTCAAATGCCTCTGCTCAGAAACGCAGCATAGTGCAATTTAAGAGCGTGGACTCTAAAGCCAGACCACCTGGCTTCCAATCCTGGGTCGACCCCCTTGCGTTGCTGTCTGAGCCTCAGCTTCTTCATCTGTGAAATGGGGTGATGAGAGCACACATCCCTGAAGCTTGTTATAGAGATGAAATGACTTATGTGCACAGTACTTAGAACAGTACCTTCCATGGGTCAGTGCTATTTAAGTCTTAGCTATTGTCCTCCTATTTTTTTATCGCCATTTCTCAGAGGATATGCCACAGGACTTCAAGGCTTCCCTGTGCCTGCCCACGACCTCAGCCCCAACCCCAGCCCCCTCCAATGGCAGCTGCTCGAGCTACACAGAGGCCCGGCACCTGACTGTGGTGGGGATACTGTTCTTGGCACAGACCCTGCTGGGCGTGGGTACCGTGCCCATTCAGCCCTTTGGCATCTCCTACATCGACGACTTTGCCCACAGCAGCAACTCGCCCCTCTACCTCGGTGAGGACTGGTCCCACCCCTTGGCCTCGGAGGGTCAGGCCAGGCTCAGGTGGGAGGAAGAGAGGTCCAGGGTGGGGGCTGGGCATGGCCTCCCTGACCCCTGCCCCGTCTAGCCCGTTCTCCAGCCCAGACCAGGGGGATGCACAATTCTTGCCCATTGGAGAGGGGGTGGGCACCGATCTGCGGAGGGAAGCCAGGGCCGCAGGGTCCTAACCTAGGCTTTGTGTTGCAGGCATCCTGTTTGCACTGACCATGACAGGGCCAGGCCTGGCCTATGGGCTGGGCAGCCTCATGCTACGCCTTTATGTGGACATTGATCGGATGCCAGAAGGTGAGCCCCAGGAGCACACATTTGTCCCCTGGGACACACAGACGCTAGCTAGCTAAGTGCTGGTCTCATAGAGACACAGAGCCAGGGGACCTAGGTTCAAATCCCAGCAATACCACTGACCTTGGACGTGCCTCTTAAGCTCTCCGAGCCTCATCTTTCCTGTCTCTGAGGTAAGCTCCGTGCTGCCTCTCCCAAAACCGCAGTCGGCCTCCAGTGAGGACATGGGGACAGACTGTAGGGCACCCTCAGATGAGGGGGGGGTCACTGATACTGCCCTGTTTCACACCCGCTTTGCTGCGCCCTCAGCCCGCGCTCACACCACCGTGCAGTGGACAGAACACGCCGTCTTGGCGGCAGCGGGCTCCCGTCTTTAGGGGGAATCAAGACTCAGGTAAAATAGAGAGGACGACGGCACACTGCAGAGAACTTTTTTAAAGTTTTTTTGAGACAGAGTCTCACTGTGTTGCCCAGGCTAGAGTGCCATGGCGTCAACCTAGCTCACAGCAACCTCAAACTCCTGGGTTCAAGCGATCCTCCTGCCTCAGCCTCCCGAGTAGCTGGGACTGCAGGCATGCGCTACCACGCCCAGCTAATTTTTTTCTACTTTTAGTTGTTTGGCTAATTTCTTTCTATTTATAGTAGAGACAGTGGTCTCGCTCTTGCTCAGGCTGGTCTTGAACTCCTGAGCTCAAGCAATCCTCCCGCATTGGCCTCCCAGAGTGCTAGGATTACAGGCGTGAGGCACCTCGCCTGGCTGAGTGCTTTTAGAGCAGGACTCAGTGACTTGCTGTGTTACCTTGGGCCTCTCTCAGATGGGACATTCTCTGGGTGACCTCTGAGAACCCTTCTTGTTCTGACTACCGCAAAGTCAGGGGCACCATTTGGGAAACGGTAGTCTCTGATCCAGGTGGTGGTCAGAGTGGGCCAAGGAGTGGGACTGAAGCTTGGGCGGAAAGTGGCCAGGGGAGGATTCCCATTAGAACACGTCCCCACGGCATCTCAGCTGCCTCCTGCTTCCTGCCTGCTGCTACTGAGAAGTCCTGTCGCACCTGGAGGTTTTCCTGGAGGCCTTGGGAGCCTCAGGTGACAGTGTATGGCTGGATGAACATGCAGATGCTGCTTCTTGTTTTCCAGCCTTTGCCCACAGGTGTCTCCAGCTGAGACAAGTCTGGGCAGCTCCGTGTAACAGTCACTAGGGATAGCCCCGCACCACCTCTCTTCCTTCTAGAAAAAGGTGCCATGTCTGGGCTTTGGTTGCAATTCCTCTCTCCCCTGAAGGAAAAGTCCTGGGAGCCGGAGTGGAAAGGGGGGTGTTTTCTGACGCTGTTGACGTCACCCTGGCAGGCGGGGCATCTCCATAGGCAGATGTGGCGTTTCTGTGGCTCCGACTCCCAAATCCTTTTTCATTATGGGGTATTCCATAGGATGGGCGGATGCTGCAGGCACAGACAGGCATTCGAGAACTGGAGGAGTTAGGGAGGCGCATGTGTGAGCTCTCGCCAACCTGGCTCGGGGGCAGAGGAGATGGTAAGTGAGGAGGGAATCAGGTCTGATCAGTGCAGAAGCCAAGCCCTTCAGCACTTTATAGATACACTGCTGAGCGCCACCTGTGTACTCTGGCCCCTTCCCAGGAGGAGCTCAGGATCAAGCACCTGGGAACCAGCTTGGCACAACTGGGAACCAGCTCGGTGTTATCACGCGTCTGCATTTCTATGCAGTATTTGCGGATGGTGTGGAGATTGAAGGAGAATGTACCCGGCTCAGCCTTGGGGTTAAGATGTTTGACAGGAGATTTGCACACGCTAGTCAGGAGGCACACCTTGGATAATCTAGTCCTAATTAAACCTGGTGGGGGATCAAAATCACCTGGGCAATTCGTTAAAGGTACAGTTGGTCCCACCTTCCCACCCCACCTGTGGTCAGCCTAAGCAGGTCTTCATTAAGGCCAGGTATTTTTGACAAGTCTCCCTGGGGACATTAATCATCATGCAGGTCTGAGAACCACAACGGTAGTCCTAACCATTATTTTAATAATAATCATCATCACAACAGTGACAGGAAGGAGGAGGAGGAAGAGCAAACATTTTTATAGAATATACCCTTCTAAATGCTTTCCATGTGTTAGTTTCTATAATTCTCACAACAGCCCTATGATATAGGAAATATTAATATCTGTATTTCACAGAAGAAGAAATGGAGGCACAAAGTGGTTAAGCAGCTTGCCCAAGGTTATGAGTCAGTAACGGAATTCAGACCTAGTGGTCCATTTGCAACCTTGACCACTAGACTACATTGCCTTGGTACTTGAAGAAACCAAGTCCAGAAATAGTCACACAGGATATAACTGGCAGAGCCAAGACTGGAACTCAGGTCTCCTGACTCCCAGCCTGGGCTGCCTCATGTCTCAGAGGCCAGTGTCAGGGTGGTGGCCTAGAAGTGACAGCCTACCCTGACCCTAACATCACCATGGTCTTCTCTTTCAGGTGGTATCAGCCTGACCACAAAGGACCCCCGATGGGTGGGTGCCTGGTGGCTGGGCTTTCTCATCGCCGCTGGCTTGGTGGCCTTGGCTGCCATCCCCTACTTCTTTTTCCCAAGAGAGATGCCCAAGGAGAAGCATGAGCTTCACTTTCGGCGAAAGGTCTTGGCCATTGCATCCTCAGGTGTCAGCAAGGTAAACCACGTCCTTGTCTCCTGCCCCAGCCCAAGCTCCAGCCCCACCCACTTGTCCTCCTCTGTCACATTACACTTCACCCCGGCACTGCACTTCACAGCTTACCAAGCTTGTTGCTCCCAGGCACCACTGCACCCTCCCACAGCCCCGCATGGTGATAACACCTGCCCCTTCCACAGCAGAGGAGGGCAAGGGCCAGAGAGGGAAGTGACTCACCCACGACCACAAATCCAGCAAGGGCAGCATGGGATGAGAGCCCATGCCTGTGGGAGTTCATGCCCCTCCCAACGACCACTGTGCTGCAGCTGCTGGGCTTGTCATTGTAAAGTTTTGTAAATTCAGAACATGCCATAGGAATCCTAAGTGCTTGAAGGGTGGGTGGGAGGGTCTGGGAAAACGTCCCTGAAGAGAAGGACTTTAGCTGGACTTTTGATGATTTGCCGAAGTGCAGGAAGGAGAGGACAGGCATTCTGGGTGCAGAAACAATGTGGGCAAATGATTTGGCTGTAGTAATGAACCTGGCCCTTTCAGGGACAGTGAAGGGAATGAACATGTCCTGAGTGCCTCCTCGGGCGAGGCCTGGTTGGACACGAGAGGTCAGTACACAGAGGGTAAACAGCAACGGAGCCGACGCTCCAGGGATGCCTATGGAAACCCCACTCGGCTCAGAAAAGGACACTGAGGCCCCGCCAGGTAGGGGCATTTGCCCAAGGTCACAATGCTGGTAGGAGAGGGCAGGACCATGTGAGCCATTGGGCAGGATAGATGATTCCAGGCCAGGGGCCTCCAAATTTTCCAAGGCCCAAAAAACAATAAATTGACTCTGAATTAAAAAGAAAATGACAAAATAGAAATGATTTCTTTTAAGTTTAATTATATGTCACTAATATAAACTTCATTAACTTTTCTTTAATATTCATACACATTTTATTACATTCTGAAAATCTGTGGATTAGATTTCCTCTTTCCCCAAGAATAGGGGGTAGTTGTTAAGAAATCACAATCATAAATTAAGTTACTTGTTGCTAAGTGGTTCTCATTTCAAAGGGACCGTTTATAAAAATCCTGTTGACTATTTTGCAGTGAGAAAATTTCTCTTTACTGTGACAGGCTGGTGTACTTGGATGTGTTTGCTGTCAGGTGGGAGGGAGGCTGAGGGCAGGGAGCCTGATGAGACGGCTGTGACAGTGGTCCAGGCAGGCAATGGTGCACCGGCGGTGAGGGGCTGGGGACGCTTTGCGGGCTGGGGACGCTCCTCCTCCCAGGAGGAGGACTGCTCAGACTTGGGTGCTGCTCTGCTGGGGATGTCCCCGAGACAGTGATGCGCTGGGCTGATGCTGAGACGGGGCGCAGCTGGCTCAGAGGCGGGGGGAAACAGGTGCTGGGCAGAAACCAGTTTCAGGGGAAGAAGGCAGCTTGGAACCGCAGACTGTTCTTTCTGGTTCTGCCTAGCTCAAGCCAGTTTGGAAGAGATGGAATTCTTGAAACTTGGGGAAGAGTTCTTGGAATTGGGAGTCATCAGAGAGGAAGAAGAGAGCCTGGGTTGCTGGTTGCTGGTCCTGAATTTGAGCAGAGTAGAACACCATTTTGGCGATGGGGGTGGGAGGGGGGCGGATGGGTGGAAGAAGTAAAAGTTGGGGGTGGGAGACTGTGCTGAGCTCAGTCACATGTCTGCCGAGTGACCTTGAGCAGCAAGTCACTTCCCCATTCTGTGTTGCTGTGTAAGATGCTGAGGCTAGATTCCCGGAGCCAGGCTGCCCACCTCGGGTTCTGAGAATGCACGATTCCCTGAGTCGAGGCTGCTATGATTCAGAGATTCGGATTATAAGAGCCGTGTCTCTGTAATGCCTTGAAACCAGGCTCCCCGGCTGTGAACCTGTCTGGCTGTCTAAATTCATTCTGTCAGCATGGTGGGGGGGTAGTGCAGGGGTGGGTAGTGCGGGGGGGAGGGGGTGAGAGGTTCTTTTTAAAGAATCGAGGGCTGAGAACATGATGATCTGCTTCCAGCAGCTCTCAGGCAATAAATATTGATGTGGAGGAATTGTTCCTCCGCCTCCTTGAGGCTGCCTTGCTCGGGCTGCTTGCAGTAACACAGGTGGCCTGCCGCTAGGGCCACTGACAGGAGGCGGAGGGGCCAGGAGGACAGGCTCAATTGGACAGGATCAGCTGCCAGAAAGTCCAGGTCCCCAGACAGAGGATGTGTCCCTTCTGCAGGGAGAGGGGTGGGTAAAGGGAGAAGTGAAGGGGAGGCTATTTCTGAAGTTTCTTTCAGGCATCCCCTCCCAGGCTCGAGGCTCCGGGGTCTCCTAAATACCGTTCTAGAAGAAACATGGTTTTTACAGTTTTATCCAGGAGATGGCTGTGTGTAATATAAGAATCACACGATCCACAGAAGGTCTCTGACCTCAGTCTCCTTATCTGTATAATGGGAGGCAGAGTGGACAAGGTCCATCAGCTCTGATGGGTCCATGCTGTCTCCTCCGAATGGCTCCCTGTTTCTGGAGCAGTGCATGAGCATTTTCCAGGGGGACAGGAGGGTGCGTCCCACAGTGCCTGTCCCCAGGAGCTCTGAGACAGCAAGGGAAGGCCAGATGCAGAGATGGGAGATAACTGCTAACGTAGTCACGGTTTCTCCCATGACTGTGGGGTTCTCTGCCTGGGGCAGGAGGCATTAACAGTCCCCATAGAAAAGAGGATGAAGTGGGGGGCGGCACACATGGCATGGGACAGGGCAGAAGCCCTGCCTTCCTGCCTTTGGCTCTGTCCCTGCATCTGTGACCTTAGAGCTCAGGTGGCCGCCAAGACATCCTCCTACGAATGATCCAGGACAGGCCTGCCTGACCTCTCTCTAGGCCTCCGTCTCCCCATCTACAATCAGCCAGTCCCTAAGGTCCTGTTGGGCCCTTGGACTCCTGGCAGTTGGCTCTGCAGGGTCTTATGGAGTAGAGATGGTCTCTTGGTGCTCCCTGACAGCCCCATCTGTTGCTGTGGTGGTAGTGTCCCCATTCCACAAGCAACCCTCCTGTGCCCTTCGTGCCCTCTGGTCCTTTTGAGAACCTCCCCTGGGGCTAAGAGGCTAAGAGGGGCTAAGAGGGGCCCAGCCAGCTACTTCCTGGCAGGGAGGCCTCTCCCATCCAGGGTCCCTGTCCCTGCCCAGCCTCTGAGCACCACTGGACTCTGTGACCTTCCCTTGCTTCCTATTTACCAGGTGTTCGTGTGTCTGCTATTCCTGGGATGTCTCTGAAAGTTTGGGGTTCTAAAATTATATGGTTTTAAAGTTCTGTGTTCCTAATAGAGATTCTCAAGTACCTGTGCCCTATTATTCTAAGATTCTGTGCCTCAAATGCTCTGAGACTCCCCAGATTCACATTTCTAAATGGCTACAGTTTGGGCTGAGACTCTGCCAGTCTACGAGTCCACTGCCTGCTGGTTAGTAGCCTCAACGCTCATCTTTGGGAGAATGGTCAGGGTGGGGACAGGAGTGGGAGGTGGCAATGGTCCTTCAAACCCAGGGCTTAGGGCTGGTCTATTGGGATTTGCACAGCCTGGAGTTCCCCATTCCCTGGGACTTGTGTTCCCACTGCAGTCTCTGAGTTCTGAGATGGTACAGGTCTTTTTTGTCCCCTGTGTCCCTTCCTTGCAGGCACCACCTCTAGACACCTCTCTTCTAGCCTAGGAGCCCTCTTGTGTCCCTCCCTATCCCTGGCAGTCCAGGGCTTGTGACTTCCAGTCTCTAATGTGGAAGGGCTTGAGTGATCACCCAGTTGAGCCCTCACTCCATCCCACAGATAGGGGTATTGAGGCCCACAGAGGGTCAAGGACATTCGCAGAACTTGGCCAGCACCACTGGTCCCTGTGTTTGCCTGCACAAGGCCAGGATATGGCCCCAAAGGGCTGAGAAGGGCTCCTCCCTCAGCACGTAGAGTACATATAGAGCTTCTACACACATCAGGGCTGGAGGCCACTTTGGGGTGATCTGCTTCAGTGGTTTTCAAACTGCACCCCACAGCACCCTAAGGACTAAGGGCCTTCCATCCCTATACACAGACAGACACACACACACACTTTCTCTCACTCTCTGCTTTTATGTGTTTTTATACCAGTCTTTAGAATGAGATTTCAATTGGGTAAAAGGTTCTGTTGCTAAAAACACAGCTGATCTAGTTCAATATCCCTATTTGACAGAGGAGCAGACTGAGGCCAAAGAGGAGAGAGATGAAAGGTAGCTGGTCTGGCCCAAGAGGCACCGCCCGAATTTCCCCAGTGTCTGAGGCACCTGCAGTAGCAGGGATGGGGCCAGCTGTGGCAGACGCTGGACACAGGGGGTCTGCACCATAGCGGCCTGGCTCTGCTCCTTACTAATTCTGAAATCCATAAAATGGATATAACCATAACATCTAGATCTTGGAGTTTTTGTAAGAATAAAATAAGGTAAAGTGGTGAGGTGAGTGGTTCAATGCCAGACATGCAAGCCCAGTCTTTCCTTGATCAAACCAGATCTCAAGGGGAAAAAAATAATAGAAAAATTGCTTTTTTTCTAATATTCTTCTATGTTAAATTTTTTAAAAATTTTTAAAAAAATGTTTAATTGACAAATAAAAACAATATGTATTTATGATATACACTATGATGCTTTGATAGACAAATACATTGTAGAATGTCTAAATCAAGCTGTGTGACACTTGCATCACCTCATATACTTGCCGTTTTTGTGGTGAGCACACTTAACATCCACTCTCTTAGCAATTTTCAAGTGCACGATATATTGTTAGTAACTGTAGTCATCATATGTGCATAGATCACTTGACCTTTTTCCTCCTGCCTACCTGAGATTTTGTGCCCTTTGACCAACATCTCCCCAGTCCTTTCCCTACCCAAGCTCTGGTAATTACCATTCTACTTTCTGCTTCTGTAAGTTTAACTTTTTAAGATTACACATATCTCACTTAGTGTAATGTCTTCTAGGTTCATCCATAGTGTTGCAAATGATAGGATTTCCT